CCCCCCCCCCGGCCCGGGCTGTGCAGTCCCGATCGCTGCCCCCGTGCTTGGAGCGGGTGAGCGGAGGCCAATCCGCACGGCAGGCTGGCTTCCAGCCTCGTCTGCTGACCCTGGCGAGGACTTGCGTTTCCGCCAGAAGAAACCCAACCCAACCAAAGTACATTCAAAAGCAAAATAGAACAGAAAAAACACACTTACCACTAAGCTGGTATTAAATTTATAAAACCGCTGAACTGTTCTGTCGCTGAAGCTGTTGCAGAGGTTTTTCTTGACGAAGTTGGGGTGGTTCAGAATGTCATTTGCTACCAAAGGCTCCTAAGTGAAAAAACGGAGGATTTTATGCCTTTGCAATCAGGCACAAACAGCAGCTTCTCCACAGTCCTTGCCACCCCAGCAATTAGAAAATCTAGGAATAAACCGAGGAAAAAAAAAAGGAGCCAGACCTTGTGCGTGATGTGCTGCTGCTCCACCGGCGCGTGCCCTTTGGGATCGATGAGGGTTGGGTGTGCCACCAGGTACCCTCTGTCCTCCATGATAAAGCACCTGTCCCACAACAAACAGAGCCGAGAGCCTCCCGTTAGGCCTCCTCGGGCTTTCGAGAAACACGGCAAAATAAAACATCATCTGAAATTTACAGCTAGAGGAAGACTTTTTAAACGCTTCTGTTTATTAAAATAACGAGGCCATTCAACAAACTCCCTGCAAAATGTCCTTAAAGAATGTATCGGGTATTTCCCTGAAGCTTCTGAACCTGTCACTGTTACAGCAAGTCTGGACCATCAAGGACTTGAAAATGGAACCGATATGAAACAGAAAGGGAACTGGTCAGTGCGTTGTCTTGTCTGATCGGGGAAGATCCAGAAATCCATGAAGCACAATGAACTTGGAAAGCTTGAACAGTTTATTCATCTACTATGTTACTAATTAAACAGAGATTTCACACTCTCCTTTAATGACCTCCTGCCTTAGAATCCAATTTTAACGGGGAGATAAATCACTCCTGTTTCATTCTCAGCCTTCCCAACCTTTCCTCTCCCTTTGCAGCTCTTCCCATCAGCTTCCCGTGTGATCTCAGGGAACTGACGCCGGATCTGTGCCCCTGGCTGGAAACCAGTGTGCTGCCAGGCTTTAATCCGCAACGTTTTCGGCGACTCCCGTTTCCATAGCCGCAGACAGCCGCGCTGCGGAAGGCAGACGAGCAAGCGGCACCGGGGCCCGGCACAGCCTGCACCAAGATCAAGAGAACCGGTGGCCGCAGAAGGGTGATGGAGGAGGTTAATGCAGCCACGCAACGCTCCC